GATTATTAGAAGACACATTCCGCGGAGACGGCGCCGCAAATTGAAGGCGGCACAAAACCGGCGTGAACGGCATAACAACGGGGGCGGAAAGAGGAACGCGAGAGAAGATGCGGTGGCCTGATTAAGGCGAATCGTCGGGCCGGCGCAAATGAAATCGCAAGTCGGCCGATGTGCCGAGATACACGAGTGATACTTTAAATCAGTATATACGGGGGGGAAAGAAGATTCTTCCATCTCAGAAGAAATTAGAGACGGTAAAGACGAGCTTTTCTCGGGAAAAACGAGCCACATTGAAGAAAAGATTTGGTATCTGTAACTATATAGTTACATAAAGAAATAATTACCACGAATTATGATGAAGGAAACTATTTTTTTTAATGCTGCTATAATGTTAACCTTGCATGCATGTTACTACCGTTTTTGTGTTAGAACGGCCAGAAAATATAGTTGGGACAAAAAATAATTACAATTTTTGTTAGATCATTATTTCTTTCAGTCACGAAAAAACTGTTATAATTGCTATATGAAATGGAAATTTATTTTAAAGGTTATCAAATTTACTCTAAAGATACCCAAAAAGTTTGTCAATTTTATTCTAAACCATTTGATCAGATCAATCGTGTTATTCTGATGGCAGAATTAAAAATTCAAGACGAATCGCTATTCGTTGTAGGAGCGCGTGCAAAGTCGCGTCGGCGGCGTGGAAAATTTGCATCGGCGCGAACGCGAATTCCAGGTCGGCGATTTTATCGCAACCGGGGACCGAATCGCGGGGCCTACGGGAGAATGTCGTATATATGTGTATATATGTGTATAAAGGTATCGCCACACTGACGAAATAACGAGCGCTCGTCGCGAGATATACAACGCTTTCGCGCGTTATTGAACGCGCGATATGGTGGAATAAGCGCCGATGATGCAATGAAAGCGTGTTGCGCAAGCCTCTTATACAGGGCGGCCTGATTTATGGACTTATAGGATATCGTCGAGAACAACACGTAACGCAACTATGAGCGTCTCTCTCTCTCTTTCTCTCAGCCTCTGATTACACTTGTAACCTTGGTTGGTACGATTCTAGCGGCCCTTTCTACATCGTATAGACCTGACTGTGAAAACGTGTCAATCAACTATCGGTAAAACGATCGTCTCTGCCTTATCGACATTGTCCGAGTTCGTCATCGATTCCAGCATACTCTTAACGTTGCTTCAAAGTTTGTTTAACAACCGTTCTTTAAGGACCGTTGCTGTAAAGTTCATCAGTCTATCGGCACTGCTTTAAAAGAATGCTGAATAAGTTTCATAGTTTGCACCGTTTTTCTACTTGGTTGTATAGAATTGCAAATGCTTTTACAGAGCGGAAGTAAAAGGGTTTGTAAATAAAAATATTTTTTTTTAATTTTCAATACAATATTTGATGTATTTTTCATGCATTGATATTTGTATTTTTATTCTGTAAAAGTCTTTGCAATTCTATACAACCAAGTAAAAAAGCAGCAAAAACAAAACGCATTGCATGTTGATATACAGCATCCTTATAACGTTTTTAATTAACGTTTAAATAACATTTAAATAACGTTTTTAATTTAACGTTTTTGCAGAAAGGAAATATAAAAACACCACTTTTATTGAATTACAGCAGGTGATTATTCGAAGTATAGATTAAAATGTCTAACATTGACAACCTAAAGTTAGTTCTTTGCGATCTCGTGTCGAGTCTGTCTCGTTTTTCATTGCAGCTAATTCCACTCTTTTCTACGTCTTTGATGTAAATATATGAACGCGCGATTACGTTCTTTGGATACTGGAATATTAAAGCAAACTTATACGATACTCTCGCGAAATAATTGCATTGCGACAGATCGTCCGGAAAGAAACGTTGAAGATAATTGAGATCGCGAGGAGTTAACTGCAAGTATAATTGACGCACCCTAAATTTACCGAGACTGCTTGAACGGTACACCGACCACTTATACACAAGTCGGTGTTTGATATATTCTAACATCGCGCGTCCCGGCTTCACGTGTAAACGCCGCAGAGATGCACCGCCGAATGTGGGATGAGAATGGGGCCCGATGTACGAAGACCTCGAATTCCTGCGCGAGCGTGGGAGCCAAACGAGCGAGTGATCCGTGGCCGGGGCCCGGATAGGTGCAAATGGAAACAATACATCGGAAGGAAGGGCCCCAGCGCGACTCCCGCGACGAGTTCGCCGGCGCTCTCGAAACGTTAATGCGTTTCCTCGGTCCTGAGGCTTGATCGATCGACAAGCCGCCGTGTCCTGCGTTAATAAAGGCTAACCCGGCTCCCCTCGGGAGTTATTTATGAGCCGTCTGGCGGAGTTTAACCGAGACAAAAACTTCTTCCGAAATACCGCGGCGAAGACGCCGGATTGAAGACGCCCACCGGGGGACTGCTATATTATTTAATGAATGTGTGCTCCTTCGGAACCGCGTCGTGCCTTCGTACAGTGTATACGTGTAACTTTGTCGTACCCACGGGAGAGAATCGAGCCTTGATTGTCTTACGATTCCCAACCGCCACCCCCGCGCGTTCCTCCCTTCACGAATTGCCTTTAGATACTGGGAGATCCAAAACGTGCACGTCCAGCAGACCTCGTAATTATGAGCAATCGGGGAGGAGGAAGTGAAATCTCGTTGACTGATAACGAAATTGTCAATCCAAAGGTAATTATTCAGTAATTATCGGTCAGTAATTATTACTTGGCAATTATGAATTTAGTTATATTCATTTGAAGGTTCCTCCTATATTTTCACGTTCGGATGAGGAGTCCTCGGCCTATCGAGGCGGACTTCATCCTAACGGGACTGAATAATTTGCACTTCTGCAGCATCCTGTATTCTCACCAGCGCATTCAGCGCGGCGCGTCGACGCGTTTTTATTGGCGGCGTAAAGCGCAGCTCCTTCGGGCCGGTTCGACGACAGAAATAATTTCTCTCTTTCTCTTTCTCTGAAGATGAAGATATCTCGACGAGATACCACGCGAATACACGTAGCACGGAAGGTCGAGATGCAACGCATGAAAGTTAACAGCCAACCGCGTTACTCATTCACTCAGCGACTGTACTAACGATCTGCGTTCGGCAATCGGGTTGCGCGTTGGGTTATTGCACAAGGGATTCGCTTGCAAAAGAATAAGGCGAGAAGAGAAAAGAACAACGCCGTTGTTCGTTAACGTCCCGCTTAACATTACGCGCGCTTCGGCCCGTTCACCGCGCCCCGCCGTCGATGACTTCATACCACGTTCGCTCGTAATGTCAGTCATTAATCGACCGACCGTCCGAGGAAAATTCATCGATAGGCAGTCATCGATACGTATCCATCTGCGAGATACCCGATCGTTAGATCGCGAAACGCAACGGAGGGGCCACACGGATTTCAAATACGTTCGCACAGACTGAAATTCATTGAAATTGCACCGATGTTGGACTTTAATCGATCCAAATCTCCTTTGACTAAAATAATTGATGAGTCGGGAAAGGGGGGAGGGATAATGAAAATGAATCGATCGATTTACATATAAAAGTCAAACAATTTCATGATAAAAATTAATTATTAATCAAACTTCGATGTGTTATTTACTGATTGATAATTCATTTTATTGATCGTGGAAATTTATTTGTGATTTATTACATTAATTTGTTTACTTATTTACATTATTTATATTAATTTTTTGTTACATTTATCTTATTATTATTATATTTACTTGTGATTTTATACATGACGATTGATTAAATTTGATTATTGATCAGCCAATTATTTTGGTTAAAGAAAACTTTAGTCAGTTAATTGACTAAAGTTCTAACAACATTCCAAATAGCACATACACGTATCAGAAATGTTTCTTAAACGTATCTATAGTTTCAGAACCGTAAAGCACGAATAAGAAACGTTTTAACAAGAACTTTTCTGAAACCTTATTTATGAAACGTTTATAAAATGTTTATAAAATGTTTTTTCAACGATTTTTTTTCGTAAAAATAACGTTTCACCTAACGTTTTTTGAGTGGACATTCTTACTCATGAAAAACGTTTCAGAAACATTATGAAACGTTTTGGAAACGGTTATGAAAGGTTTGGTTCTAACGTTTATAAAATATTTCTAAAACTGATGTGTGCTATCTGGAATTGAATTGCTCACGCTACTTTTCGTCTACGCGCAATCACGTTCTGGAATTAATAATAAACGCTCTTGGTGAAATGTTCACGCATATTACTCAAACACGCAAGTATTATCCTAGCAACCTCAATGAAATAACTTTAGAACTCCTTAATTAAAATCGGGATTATATCAAACAATGGACATTAAGAGCCAAATGGCAGTTTCTGTTTGCATATATTTACAGCAAATTCTACATATTACCTGTACAAAATGTCCGAAATACTTAAAATTAATTAATCAATACCTGCTTATTGTAAATGTACGCAAACAAAACTGTACAAAATGTACGCACCTGCAACTTTGGTTCATATCATCCACTATTATGGCGAAGTATATCGACGAAGACGTAGGATTTCCCGAATACTCTTCTCAGAAAGAGTAAAGCGCTACATTAAGATAAATTCGTGTTAATTAATTTACACGAGGGAGATCTCCCCTCGAGCGATCGCTCCCCGAACAGTCGTCTGTGCCATTAGACCCGAAAAAGAGCTCTCGCCTTATATGAGATCCGAGGAACAGATCGCCCTGACGGGCACGAAATAAAGGGCTTTCACCTCCTACGACCCCAGATATACCCCGGCAGCCATGTTCCGCGGGCATCCGCGTTTGGTAGCCGATAACGCGGTTTCGTTGCGTGCCCAGATCGAGTGGCAACATCGTGTGTGCCGACCGTCGGAGGCGAAATCAATTAACTTCGGTAACACGTGTGTGCGCAACGCGCGAGAGTGTGTCGCACTCGCGCGCGCGCGTATTTGCGAGGGCGCGTATCGCGTAGTATACGCATAGTACGCTGCGCACGACGTGTCCCTTCGCACACACGTGTCTACAAGGTGCGTCTGAATCACGCACTTTCCCCGCAACGAATTCCTCACTTGTGATCTTCCCAGCGGAAATTCGTCCGAATGCCAATCTCGCAATTCCCGACGTCAAGTGTCTCGCCGATAGAACCGCTGATACTTAATTAATCTTCTTGATATCCGCGTCTGCGGGAAAATGCGCGACTTCTGAAACATCCTGTATATCGCGGCCTGTACGAGGCGCCTATAACGCGTACATTAGCCGCGTGGGTTGCTATGGGCAACCCGTGACTAACACACGTTCCAGCATCACGTCTCTCACCCTTCTCCTCTCCCTCCTTCCCTCTCTTTCTCTAACCATCTCTCCTTCTCTCTGTCTTTCTCTGCTGTTTTGATCTCCCCTCTCATTCTCTCTCTTTCTCTGTTGCTCTCTCTGTTGGTCCCTTTCTACTGCTACCTCTCTTTCCGTCTTGTGTCGAGGATCCAGTGATGTAACAGTCATCGCGCTGGAGCTCGGGAATTGATGTACTATTTCGGCGGATAGAGAAGTTCCAGGTTCAGGTAGCGCCACGTCATCGCGTGATTATGCGACTGTGTTAAGAGAGAGTTTCGATCGAGTCGTAAAGGAAGAATGCGTTTTCCTCATGTTTGGCACCATTTACTGTAGTGCGAGCGGGCGACAAATGTTTCTTGAGCGATCGCATATTCGCGCGAGCGAATGAATCGCTTTGCAGAACGAGTGAGAGATTCATCAAATAATTTCACAGATGTTTAGTAAACTCTCTGTACATGCAGTATATTATCGAACACTGAACAGAAGGGACGAACGTTGAAATGTTTCCTTCGGCTTTTAGAAACAATCTAGAATTTTAATACCGAGAACGATCAACCAAATAATTAAGTCCGCAGCCATACGCTAATTAAACGGTTCGATCGTTACATTCAATTACTCGTGAAAGTCTATTCCACAAATTGCTTGGTACGTCACTGGACTATCTCTCTTCGTCTCACGCGACACGTTTATCCTTCCCAGGGACATTCGCTCGTTCCTTCTCTCTTCCTCTTTCTCTCTCTCTTTCCTCTTCCTCCCTCTCTTTCCTCTTCCTCCCTCTCTTTTCTTCTCTTTCTCTCTCACGCTCTGTGCCCTAGGTTAGCATTTCATATCCTCGTCGTTCCTACTGGGACACGCCGATCCTCTCCCTTCCAGGAGCGGACCTGCGTGGCAGCTAACGAGACTCGTGCTCCTCGGGTTTTCCAGCTGTCAAGGACCCACATAATATTGCCGCCCGAAAATATGTCGATTAATTTATTTACTCGGAATTCAAAAATTGCCTTCGAAGTACGAACTGTACTTGCTACTTTGGTATACTTCTCGCTCACTTGTGATCCTGATTGAAGCAGGCCGAGGAAGATCAGTGGTGTCAGGCACATAGAGGTCAACGCGCACCCCTGCTCGTCCGAAGAGAAGCCAGGGATGTACCCGCACTTCATTACGGTGCAACGACGCGTGACCGCCGAAATGCCGCTTACGCAATGTTTTCCGTACCTACCTACGAGGCGTCGTCGATTATCGATTTTACGATGGTCACACTCGCGCGCGTCTGGCCCCCGATGTCGATGTATGTGCGACGCGAGCGGGATGCTACCGCGCGCTCTCTACTCCCTTATGAGAGATCGAATTTCTCGGCCTTCCGTGACGATGGCTATCGATGCATATCCCGGCGTAATTAATTGCTGTGCGTTCAGGGAGAGAAAAAAACGTCTCCCAACGGTGTGTACTCGAGTATTAGTTGCAAAGAGATGATATTGTGAAGTGTACCTGGGTTCCAAGTGGTTATAGATAATATCCTTCTTTACTGCAGATTACGCAAATAGTTTTGCTATACTTTTCAATTAGAACGTGTCTCGATAAAATTGTTTCACCTAGAAAACAACGATATTGGAAATAATGTGACATTGGTAAAAATACAATGCATATTTTATTTAAGAAAAGACAATATTTTTACCATGTTATCAAAATTATATCTGTTTGGTTTATTTTTGCGTGTACCGCGTTAAAAATTTAAATCCCAAGGATCTATCTTGAGCAGTGCTGGAATCAGTGTAAGTCCGTAAAAACAAAGGCACCGGTTACGGGGTCCTTCACAAACGGTGCCTTGGGTCTTGGCTGAAATGGGATCGTCCCTGAACCCATGGTAGCGGCGTGCCGAAAGGAAGGGGTCATGGAACCTACAGAGGGGAGAGGTGCACGTCATGGTGGGGGTGGATAAAGCACCAAAAGAGCGAGAGGGTCCTATTAGGGATGCTGGCTGCGAAAAGGGAGACGGAGAAACGCAGTGTACCTTCGACCACCACCCCCTCTTCGGAACGCTCTCTTTTCCTTGCCCTTCCCCTGCGTTCTCTTCTCTTGTTCAGCTCTGTCCACAGTCGTCTCTTTCCAACCGGCTTCGGATAGAGAAAGAGAGAGAAGGACGACGTGTAAAACGAGAAGGTAGCTCTAGGAGAACGAGCTGAAGGAAGAAGGACGATGGAATGCGAGTTGGAGTGAGATGGAGAGAAATAACGCGAGTGCTGAAGAGAAGGAAAGAGAAAGTCGCAGGGAGGGAGAACAGTAGAGAGGGTGGAGAAGAAGATAGAGCTAATGAGAGAGAGACAGAGAAAGAAGGAATGAGCAATTCTGACTATTACGACGACTGTAAAGACGACTGAATCTTCATGGGAGCGCTAACTAGACGTGCGAAGAAGTAGAAGAAGCAGAAAAACGATCGAGAACCAAATTCCCATGGGACACGAGGAAGTAGAGACAATAAACTGGAAAAAGGAAGAAATGTGAGAGTGAGAGAAACGCCGAGAGGGATTAGGAAAAGAAAGATGTAGTAAGCTGGTGTCACTCTCAGGTTGAAGAAACTCAATCTTCCAAGATTAAAAATACAATCTAGGGGAAGAGAAACAAAGACAGAAGTAGGAAAAGAAAGAATGATAGAGAGAGAGAGAGAGTGGGAAGGCGAAGGCTCACAGGTCGGCGAGGATAGAGTCAGGCTCTCCTCGGCAAGAGAGAAAGAGACTCCCAGCGGGAGTTTCAAAGAGAGAAAGACGGAAAGAGGGAGAGAGAGAGAGAGAGAGAAAAGAACAGAAAAGCCAGAGCAGCGAGCGACCAGATGAGTTGCGTTAGAGCGAGAAAGAAAGAAGGGGGAGACCTATTCGGGGGAACGACAAACGGAGAAAGGAGAGAAGGGTGACGAAGCGACCGGCGAAGGAGCGAGGGAGAGACCGGCCAGAGAACAGAAGGAGAAAGAGAACGAAATGGTGCGAGTGAGACGGAGCGACAGAGAGAGACAGAACAGAGAGAGACCAGGCAGCGAGTGCGCCCACTAAGCCGCCTCCATACCACCTCCAGCATTCCCAGCCTGCACACACAGTTGCAGCTGCACCGCCGCCGTGGCTCGCTCGCGTGCACATGCGAGACTGCGCGCGCGTCTTTCTCTCTCTCTTTTTCTCGTTCTCTCTCCGTCTCTCTCCCGCATAATCTCTCGCGAATACTCTCGCGGATACACACATGTACACACACATATCCGCACCATTACACCGTGCAACAACGTCGCCGGTGTTGCAGTTTTAACGACGCCGGTCCTTCGCGTGTGATCCTGCCGCTGGACGAGGAAGCTGCACGCCCAGCCGACGACGACGACGACGACGACGACGACGACGACGACGATATGGTCGTAACCCCGGCCTCGCGACCATTATCGCTGACGTAAGTTCGCGTCCAGCTGGATTCTCCATGAAGGTCACTGATCGAATTGCCAACGTGAGCATGTCGCGTACATATTGACTCGGAGAAAGAGAGAGACAGAGAGACCACAGCGGATTGGAGCGGCGTCGACGACGACATCGACGGCGCCGCGACACTTTCGCCGGCGTGAATTCGTAATCGGGTGGATTTACGCCGCGCGCGAGTCGATGCACATCGATCCCGTCGCCCCTGCAAGATTCATCGCCGCGTAATCGGATTCGCCGAGGGAGCGTTCAGCAGCTGACATTGACAAGTGCCGATCAAACTCGCTCTCGTCGACGTAAATTCGCGGCAGCGGAAGGGCGAGGGTCGAGCCGTGCGCGGCGCCGCCGATGCAAGATTCATCCTCGGTGGGGTCCTCGCAGTCCTCGAATTGACACCGCGCGGTATCGACGTGTGCACTCACGAGCGTGCGGCCGAGGGATTCTGTTCGCTTCCAACGCGCGCTTTCCATCCTGGACCACGTCGTTTCGGGATTGCGGTGGAGAAACGCGCGCGAGTGCAAGGACGACATCGGTCCGGGAGTGCAAGAGCCAAGTGCGAAGCAGTGACCAGCGCGCGTGCTGGCTTTTCCCTGCGTTTGCCCGGTGCGAGTCGCACGGCGCGCGGAACACGTGCGAATCGCCAGGCGACAGAGAAGTGCACTATCGATCGGCCGCCGTGGCCGCAATCTCGGGAAGCGTGTCTCGTTAGCACAATATTCAGCGAGCCTGACCGCAGAAAAGGAAAAGGAGAAGGAGGAGACCTGACATTTCGCAAATGTCAGCCGCGGCCGTTGGCGCAACTTCCGCGTAATCGGAGCGTGGCCGATAAACGATAAGAGGCCAAGTCGAGCTTTTCGTGCCGAGACCGCACGACGTTCTCGGCTCCTCGGTGTTTTCATACGATTTTCCGCGCGGATCAGCGAGAGAGTGGCAGTCGAGTCGAGAGCGATGACTCGAGGCACATGATCGAGAGTGGTGCGAAACCGGGAGCCGGAATAACGGAAGCTCTTGCGCTCGGGACTCCAGGAAAATCAGGATATCTCGTCATGGACTGGATGAGGAGGCAGGACGTCAAGGAGGAGTCGCAGGAAGCTCCTAACGCCTTGACTCCCGAAGATGATGACGAATGTTACTTTGAGGAGGACGTGTCCATAGACGAGGGAATGGTACGTGTGATCTTACGCTGCGATCACCTTGTAATTATTCTGAGAACTCGTTCTGCATGTTCTACCACAAATATTCTTTTTTTTGCGTTTCATCAAGGCAATCCTATATAAAATCGTACGAAATTCTCTGCGTATATACACTGAGAGAAGAAAAAAAATTATCTAAGAAGTAGAGAATTCGGGGTGGATACACGAGTAACATATTTACACACTGAAAGAAAAAATATTGGGAAATTTAATTGTGAGATATATTGAGTTTATTTATGTGAAATACCAATTTCTGTGAAACACTTTTATCCTACAAACAAATTTTCAAATATTTTTTTCTCAGTGCACTGGATAAAAATACTTGAAAATTTATTTGCAAGATATAAAGTTTATTTTTGAAATATATAAAAAATTTTTCTATGAAACACATTTTTATTCCACGAATAAATTTTCAAGTGTTCTTTTCTCGATGTAGTCGTCCCAATATAAAATACATATTTTCTTAAAAGTTTATCTCTTCACGAAAGCAAGTGATTATTCTATTTAAATAAAAGAATTTAGATTTAAGTAAATATGTTGTTAGTACCCACCAAAATAAATATAATTTATTTTTCTCTCAGTGAAGGAAAGTGAAAATGTCGACAGACACATTTGTCTTGTTGCTCGCGTGGAGAATCTTGGCAGTGTGTCAATTTTATCTCGACACTCGGTATAAAAACATAAAAATGCATTAATTGAAATAAGTCAATTAAGATAAGGCGAAGGACCAGAGTGTGGAGTAGCTGCATGATGCAAATCGCGGCAATTCGCACCGGCGAATGCCGTCGTTGCGTTTCTTCGTCTGGCGTCGCGCCGGTCAAGGTAGAGAAAATTTGCATATTCCGATTGGGGGAGGACAAGGTCTCTCGAAACTCTCTTTCTCCCTCTTTCTGTTTCGCGAGTTGCACTGCTTTAATAACAGTTATATTAATAACAGCGCACACCATGACGATCCTCGTCGGAATATCTGGACATGTCCGTGGCTGTTAATAATACGCCGTTATCGACCGTTCGCCATGGTAGCGATTATCGTTGCCGGCGCGGCCGCCTTGTGTATATCGCAGCGGACGTTTGCGCGCGCCGCGAATATCGATAATTCGCATGTATCTCGCACACGCTACTACCCGTTGTCATTAGCCCGATTATCAACATGCGCAATCACACGCATTCGTGATATAACGCGGCTTCTCCGCACGCGGGCTTCTCCCAAAGGTTCCCGTCGAACTGCCACGCGTCATCTGTCGCGCGACTCGCTCCGTTTTGGGAAGTCTCGAATTTTCTGCAGATAATCACCGGGGCGGGCAAAAGTGCTCTGACCGTTAGGGCATTCGATTATATGTCGCCACGCCGTCATCCCTTTTCTCCAGCCCCCTGCCGCGTTTCGAATGGTGTCGAGCGTGCAGCTCGTGTCGCGCGGCCACTCCTCGGCAGCGGCTGTTGGTATTATTATTATCGTTTTTAACGCGAGAGATATGATATTAATGTTGCGTGTAAAAGCAGCAGTGTATTATATTGATATTATGTTTATATATATTTATTATTAATATCGTTGTTAGCGATCAACTCGCGTTGATGCAAGTCTCGCCTTGATCGCAATCGATGGTAGCTTTTACGGGATGCACTGAGGAAAAAATATCTGGAAATATATTTGTGGAAAGTTGTGAAGTTTCTATTTCTGTTGAACAAAATTTATTTCTGTGAAATAAAATTTATTTGTGCGAAATAAAGTTTATCTCTGCGGATAAACTTTATATCCCACAAATGAATTGTCAATTATTTTTTCTCAATATGGATCATTAAACAGCAAATTCTACACGGAAAGAATAATGTAATTTTTCTCTCGGATAAATTCTTTTCAATTTTACTTTTAATAAACCAGGGATGGACTGTTAATAAGATCTGTCTTTCTAAGGAACAGAATAATCTCGCTAGAAACATGTACTGAAAAAAAGTACTTGAAAACTTATTTATAGGATATAAACTTTATTTGTAAAAAAAACAAATTTTATGTCACTGAAAAAAGTTTGTTTTTGTGAAACAAACTTTATATTCCACAAATAAATTTTCAAATATTTTTTCTCAGTGTAGCAGATTTTTCTAAAAACGCAAAAATTTTTTAATAGTACATTTTGCAGTTGCTAAGATATATACTGAGAAAAGGAATGCTTGCAAATTTATTTGTGAGATATAAATTTATTTTACAAAAATAAACTTTACATTTCACAAATAAATTTTTAAATGTTTCTTTCTCAGTGTAAGTAGCACGTATAAAATAAATTACTGCAGAATGTCGATCTCTATTTCTCGGTTACTAAATCCTATAGTGACTCTTGCTATAAAATTCTCTCCGCGTACTCTCCTCTTCCTCGAAAACAGTAAAAATTCCAATTTATTAGAACGAAAGCGCTTTTAGTTAGCGACCGTCATGCACTTTCTCTTTCTCTCTCTCTTTCTTTTTTTCTGTACGCACCGAGAGTGCAGAGATACTCTCGCATCACTTGGCCGTAAGTGAGAAAACCGCGTCGCGTGAATCAGCCTTAAAACCGGGCAGCGGCGAGAAAATGGGCTCGAGTGTAAAATTACGGACGAATCTACTGTTACGTCCATTGTTGCCTCCTGAAGTGGCCGCTTGAATTACTAACCGCCGGCGGAGTTGCTTCCCGGGGCTCTCGGGGCGAAATTGCATGCGAGCGAGCGCGCGGTGTGCGTGCGTGCGCTTCGTGCGCAAACATTTAACGGGGACAAGGAGCCGCTTGCGGCGATAAATCAGAGAATTATGCGAGAAAATCGAGACGCGCTAGGGGTCGCGCAGGGGCACGTATCGAACGTCGCTCGGGTATCATTCTTCCTTCGTATTAATGTCGTGACATCTAACCGTTTGGAAACGGTGTCACTGATCCATATAGAAGGGAGCGAAGTGTAGAGCGCAAATCGCGAAACTGGTACGCGTTCAACGAAAGTGCAAATGGTCTGGGAAATTCGCAGCCTCGGCGTTCCCTCAGGAAAAATGTCTTACTGGGTCATCCAGTTGATATCGATGCAAGTGGAAATAGTTAATGGAGTATTTCTCCGCTTCACTTAATTTTGGCGAGATTTCGTTTCTGCACCGTAGATATTAACGCTCGGCGCTAAGAAATGAAAGTCACGCGCGTCACGACGATCATTCTCTCCTGAAGAGGGTGTTGGAACCGATATAATGCAGCTTCGTACTTTGCACTGTTTTTCTATTTAGCTCACTCGAAGAATATAATCTCATCTTCAGTGACATCCCTTTATATATGATCTCAAAAAGATCCTTCTAAAACCAAAAGAAAAATATTCTAAGCTAGAACATTCTTGAAGCTAAAAATATTCTTGAAGCTAGAAAAATCTCTTATTTTATCTATTTTTTATTTTTATCTAAAAATCTCTTTTTTTTATACACTGGTGAAAGAAATAGTAAATATTAAATATTTATTTACAGAAATAGTAAATATTTATTTGGTGGGTACTAATGACGTGTTTATTTATTTTGATCTAAATTATTTTTTAATATATATTTTGAAATACATATTTTCTTAAAACCTTGTATTTTTACACACAAAACCAAATGTTTATTCTATGTAAATGTTTATTATAAGTAAAATAACTTGATTTTCAATAAATATGTTATTAATGTGTTACTAATATATTACTAATATAAATTTCAATAAATATGTTACTAATATTAAATAAATATTAACTATTTTGATATTTTTTCTCTTCTAGTGTCCAGGTCTTGTTCTTAATAGAAGTTTCTTGCAGTGAAAAGACAAACTGCTTCGAACATATATATTCCTCTTGATTCAAAGAAGAAAGAAAAGTTAGAATTATATCTAATAGATTCCCAATTAGTAGCTTACTTTGTAAAAAGAAGAATTTTTCGGTAAAAATTTTCTTTTTAAATATGGAATTATGAGGAACAGTTTCTTCCAATCAGATTCTCTTTTCTAGTTTAAGAATATTTTTTTTTTATTTTAAGGAAAATTCTCTTAAGGCCATATGAAAAAGGAGATTTTTGTTAAAAATAAAATTATATTTTTTTGGATATTATATCAAGTTGCAAATATTTGGATAAAGTGAAAGTAAAAATGACAATAAATAGCGAGATACTTCATGTTATATTACAAATTTCTTTTTTTATAATTTTTTTTTGTTTTTCATATCCCTTTAAACTATTGTCTAGGGAAAGTCAAACTATACGGCCTCAAAAAAGCTGCAATCGAAAGGAAATACAATAGTTCCGCTGTGCTCGATCTAGGCTACCCCACGGAGCGTTGAGACGCATGCCGACTCGGGCGGAAATTAAGAAAAAGAAAGAAAAGTACAAGGTTGATACATCAGCGATTATCGAGATCGCACGGCGACGCAGAGATTCATGGAAGTCACGCGAACTCTGCGTTTTCCGTTGACGATTCCCTCTCTCCTTCTTCTGCTTTCTCTCTCTCTCTCTCTCTCTCTTTCTCTCTCTCGTTTTGTGGCGGGGTCTTGATAAGAGCAAACGATATGTTACCCGAAGCCACTTCGCCTGTGGAAACCCTGGCAACGCCGAAGGTGTTCGTGAAGAGTCGCGATGATTCAGCGCCAGCTGCGTCCTCGAGGAGGAGGAGGAGGAGCAGGAGGAGGGCTGTATAGTAAGTAAAACGACACGAAATTTGTTAGTCAAAACCGAAACATCGATCTCACGTCTCGGTGGGATTAAAGTACAGGCCTGAGCGGAATATTCGACGAGGTTTTCCACCTTCGTCGTTGCTCGTGCGCGCGAGCGCGCCTCGCTGTATCTTGTTAATCCGCTTCCTGCTATCTCCCGGACGATCACGTCGTCCGGGCCGGAAGTGAGTCGCGATGACTCGCAATCAAGAACAGAAGGTAGAGCCCGGCTAGCGTAAACAACGGCGTCTACTACCACAGACACCGCCTGGCAAGCCAAATAGTCACGACAATGACAATGTACT